GAGCTGCGCAGGCGCGCAGTCAGCCAGCATCGAGGCGGCGCCCCAGCTCGCCCGAAGGGTGGCTCAGTTCAACAGGGACGGGGCCACGCCCGCAGCCCTAGGCTTTCACACGAAGACCCCGTGGGGGGCGCAGGCTGTTCACAGTGGCGCTTCTCCAGTCCCTGAGCTTTAACTTGTTTCTAGAACAAGTCTGGCTCCCTAAGTCCAAGGAGCTGGCTCTTTACGCACTGGGAAAAGCACAACACCCCATGAGCTGGGGGCGTGGGGGGAGGCCGGCAGCCCCACTGCTGCACCAGACCCCCAGGAGGCATGTCCCCCCCCCCCCTTCCTGGGGCCCGGCCGCAGGCGGGTGCCTGGAAGACATCCCTCACAGCCGTGCTTCCCACTGGTAAAAGCAGGGTCCCAGCGAGCCCTCGGGGGTTGGGAGAATCGGGGATACCGCGGCAGGCGAGCCCCGTGGCCCGGCCCCCCAGCCGCCCCACGTACCAGGGGTCTCAGCGGCCCGTACTTCTCCAAGGCATTCTTGAAGGGCGTAGGCGTGTGGGGAGTGTTGTCCATGGAGCACTTCTGGTCGGGGGTCACAAAGCTGCAGCACCAGGGGGTTAGCGGCCGTGGGGGGTTAGCGGCGGTGGGGTTTAGCGGCCGTGGGGGGTTAGCGGCCGTCGGGGGTTAGCGGCCGTGGGGCGCAGCAGCTGCCTCCCCTGGGGCCTCGGGACAAGCACGTGCCTGGCCCACGCAGCCCCGAGGCTGTCAGGCTGTCGGCCACCCCCACCTACCCCTTAATTCGTGGCTGGGAGCCCAGTGAGGACCCCGAGCCCAGTGAGGACCCCGAGCCCAGTGAGGACCCCGACTCTGCTGCTGTTCCCTACACTCAGTCCGCCCCAAACGCAGGGCCTGGTTTTGTTCTTTAAACACAAAAGCAACTGTTGATGTCGAAGCCCCACAGTGGACTCTGCCTATGATTTCCTCAGGATTCCGCACGGCCCCCTCCCTGCAGGCCTGCTGACCGCTGCTACGCCGGATGCCCCCTCGGTGACCGAGCCCCCAGGCCGGTGCACCTGTGGTGAGAAGTTACGCACCACTGCGCCTGCTTGCTAATGCGCGGTCCCCAACACCCCGCAGCCTCTGCGAGGCCAAAGGTGAGGGAGGGGAGCAAGGACACCCAGCAACTTGGAAGTGAGGCGAGTAACTGCTGCCTGTATATCTTTCCAATGTGAAGAACTTTTCAGTGAAAAGGTCGGAAAGCCAAAACACACACACACACACACAAGCCTCTGGGCTCAGAGGGGTGGTGAACCTCCACTTCTGGCCCACACCCGAGGTGCAGGAGCAGGGGTTACTGCCCCACCGACCCAACGCTGATACATGCAGGTGAAGCCACGTGTCTCAGGACCCTGGACGACAGGTGTGAAGGGCAGCGATCCCCAACAAACAAGGGGAGCCCCCACAGTGGGAGACCCCTGGCTCCGCAGAGGTGCAAGGGGAGTCCTGCCTTGCAAAAGACAATGGAGAAAACAAGGCAGGGCAGTGCTCACGAGTCCCCAGGAGAAGCTCCTGGACACTGCGGAGCCCCCCCCCCCCCGAGGCCCGACCTGGGACCTTGGAAGACCGGACCTGAGAGATCAGAGGAGCCCCAGAGAGCAGGTGAGAGGCGGCACTCTCAGGCTACCACTACCCAGCACGGAGGAGCTGCACTCAAAGCTTGTGAGCGCGGGAGGTCAGAGTTTCCTGGTGCTCAGGACTCTCCTTTGCTGAGATAAGAAACCACCAAACTAGAACTAAAGACTGTGCTGCAAAATGAAGGGCTGAGGGGGCCAGAGAAGAGGCATTTTTCTTGAAACAGGGCCTCGGGTTTCCCCAGGCGTGAGGGGGTGTCGTCCCCGTCCCACCCCGGCCTGCAGGTGGGGTGCAGCACTCACACAGTGTGCTTCTGGTGCAGGGGCGTCTTATCCCGGTGCAGGGGCGTGGTGACCACAACCTTCTGGCTGCACACCGGGGTGGACGTCAGGGACGGGCTCTCGAGCTCCAGGGCATCCTGCTTGTTCCAGAAGTTGAGAAACTGCCAAGACAAAGGACCCAGACAAAGTAATGACCTGTCTGGATTTCTGAGCCTGCAGAAGCGGAGTGAGCCCCTTGAGGCCCACGTGGTACTCCGTCACGGCTGTCCTAGCAAGATGAACCACAGGGCTTGCTCACAAGTCACCCCAACACAGGGCTGGGCCTCGATCCTCTATGACAAGGCAGGGCAGTCACCCAAACGTGCTCCCAGGAGGCAGTGGGCTCAGTCGCCCCCCACACACACTCCTGTTCGCAGACACCAGGCTCTACTGGCCTCACCATCAAGCTCCAACCAGTCCCACCTCCCAGGGCCCACCACACCTCCTCCACTACCCAGGGCAGGGCAAAGTCCTGGGGATACCTAAGGCCCAGCAAGGCCCCTGCCCCCACACCCATCACTAGCTCTGGACTCAGCCCCCACACTCCTGCGTTTTTAGTCAAGACAACCCATCCACAAAACCTGGCTCACATACCAGCCTCCAGGCAGCCCCAGGAAAGCCAGGGCTCCCCCTAGTGCTCGCTAAGAAGCAGCACCAGATCACGCGTGCTCATGACTTTCCCAACAGCACTCTCCTCATGGAGCTGAGTATCCCCACGCCTCCCCACCCCCCCCTCCCAAGCTCTCCTTGGGTGGGCAGTCACCACCCTTGTTCCCCAGCGGGCAGGTCCAGCGGGAAGAGGAGCTTCTTTTATCCACCCCACCCCCCACCCCCAGACATCCCAGCTCAAGCAACAACTCTTCCAGGGAGCCTCCCTGGGTGACAGCCCGTCCCCAACCCAGCCTGCACCCAGGTGCCAGCCTCTCTCACGGGCCGTTTAAGGTCATCACCATCATCTTCCCATTGAACCATGCCCTTCCTGACAGAGCAACGCTTCCCGAGGGTGGCCCTGAGCACGCGCCCAAACCCGACAAGCCGCGGGGGGGGCCCGCACCTGGGAGGGCGAGAAGGGCAGGGTCTTGACGGGCGTGCTCTTGGGAGTGAGGCTGTTGCAAGAGTCCAGGAAGGACAGGCTAGCGCTGTTCTCTGACACAGGGGACAGGGCCACACGCCTCTTCTTCTGCCGCTTGAGCACCGAGGGTGGCGTGCCGACGCCCAGGCCCGCCACGTCGGTGCTGGGGGAAATGGGGATCAGCTCGCCCCGGCTGCCGCGGCTCAGGTCCGAGATGGTGTGGCCGTCCAGGCGGTATTCGGTCACGCTGGGCAATGGGGCGGCGGGCTGGCGGCTGGGCGGGGCCTGCTGCTCTGGCTGCACCGGGCTGTGGCTGGCGCTGCCCTCTGTGGCCGGCTCCTCGGGAAGGTCGAACTTACTCAGGTCACACCAAGCATCGGGGTCCTACCCAGAGACGGGGGTTAGAGTGGGCGCGGCTTCTCTGCTTGCCCGCCAGCAGATACAGCAGGACTCCTCCAGCAAAGGGACGTGCACGGGGCAGGGAGGACCCCACCATCCAGGAACCACCGTCACTAACGCGTTCTTGGGGCTATCCCACGCCTGCAAGCCTGTGCCCACAACAGGACGGAAGGCACGCTGTGCAGACCCGACTTCCTGTTACCTACGGGCTGGCCCGGGGTCTTCACAGCACAGCAGCACAAGGAGCTCAGTGCCGTCAGCAGGCCGGAGACAAACCCCCACCACGACACCCTGTGCTTGCCCCTCACCCTGCCCTGGGGGACACTAAGTGCCCAGTTACCTACTAGCTTCACACCTTTATTCCTTTGCCACTTAGACATGCCCTTAAGCATTCGACCAGGTGTTATTTCTCCAGCCTGCATTTTTTTTTTCCCTTTAAAATTTCTGGACATCGGGCCCTCCCTGGTGGCGCAGCGGGTTAGAGCACTGCACTAAGAAGCTAAAGCCGCTTCCGCATGAGTTCGATTCCCGCCTGCCCCGGAGGTGACCACATGGCATGGCAGACCTCTTCTGACCCACCCGCTGCTCCCCTCAGCAGTGTACTTCATAGATCTGCCTGTTCTGCTTCCCACTCTGTCTCTGGTGAAGCCTCTCACCGCCCCTGCACCTCTGGCCTGTACCCCAGTTCTGTATGTGCAAATAAATAAATCTTTTAAAATAAATAAATAAATAAAAATTTTTCTGGAAATCAGGGAAAATGCCTAATTTTTTGAGTTAGAATTTGTTAGTAACAACTATTCATAAAGATGGTGAAACTTTTTAACTGTCACAGCCATCACCTTATATGTCATTCTATGTCCCCTCTTGTTGGGCATTTAGTTTCCCAAAATAAAAAGTAACACCTTGGATTACAAATCCCCCGCACTGTTGGCTATTTCTGTAAGAGACTGCTCAAGTGGCAGGCCTGGACCCTGGGCCAGGGTCTTTGCAGGGACACAGTTCTCAGGGCGGGCGCACCCCCATGCTCCAAGGGGCTGTCAATCACCAAACCGGATGGTTTCCACAGCAACCGTGCCAGGGCAGCATCTCTTTACCCCATCACATGCAAGGAACCCAGGCCAGCGAGGGTACGAGCTGGCCAAGGTTACTGGATTTCTGAGAGCACCCCGCCTGCTACCCACATCACCTGCTTTTGCCCAGGAAATGACAATGCCACCAAGAGTCTCTGGGCAGGACCTCCTGTCTGGCCCCAAGCAGACCCAGACCCTCCAGTGAGTTCCAGGCCTTAGGACCTGCAGGGACCAGGGCGTTCATTCCCAAGGGCAGGCCCAGTTGCAAGCCCCAAACCCAGGGTGACCCAGAACTATTTCACAGACCAGAGGCACACCCTGCAAGGCTGAGGGACAGGCGGAAGTATCTCTGCAAATGGCCAACTCCCACATCAGCTGCAGAAGTCGCTGTAAAAAGCCCCAGCAGCACGCCAGACAGCAGGGCTGAGCCACACCCAGGACACACAGCCGCTGATGATGTGCTGCGTGATGTCGGATAACCTCCTCAGCTCGGATAACCTCCTCACAACGCTGAGCTGGGGGCTCCTGCACTGGTGAGGCGCCCACCTCCCACTTCTCAGGGCTGCTCTGACTGTCCGAGAGCATGAGAGATGCAATAACCAGCTGAGCACACAGCAAACCCTCAAACGTCAGACACGACAATTACTGATGGAGCTCCAGCCCGGCTCAACAAAAGCGAGCCTCTGCTCTTCTCCACTTCATCACATAGAAACACACCATGACGGTAAAGGCCAACAGGCTCACTTGCTGCATGCCCTTGGGGACAATGCTTGACCTCTGAGCCTCATCTACAACCATGAGAAAGGACAGTCCTCACAGGACTTCAGGTGGACATGGAGCTCTGGATGGCACATGGAGCTCTGAGCTTCGCATTTCCAGGTGTTCAAGACTGTCATTAGCCTCAGCAAGGTGACGAGCATGGTCCCACTGAACGCCACACCCCTGCTCTCAGGCCTCCGCTGTCATCTCCTGAACCCCCTCCACACCCAGACTCAGCTGGAAGTGAGATGTCACAGCAAGGTGTGGCCTGAATGAGGAAGCTCCCCAAGGGATGGCCCGCTGCATGCCTTGGGGCGCACCACCTGATAATCAGGCCCCATCAAAGCCCAGCACCTCCCAGGCCAGGCCCTCTCCAGACACCACCCCCGGCTTCCCACGCCTAGCCAAGCCATGGCCTCAAACACCCTCTCCCCGTCATCCCTGAGGGCTCAGCCGCATCTGGGCGCCCTCCCACCCACCCCGCCCAGGAGTCTGGAGCTCTCCGAAGGGCACGGTGACTGCCTCAGGGTGTCGAGGCTCTGTTCGGGGCGGGACCAGCACAGCAGGACACAGGCGTGAAGGAATGAGAAGGATGCCCACCACGAGCAGTGCCCCCTCGGCAGGGTGCCCCAGGCCCGTGACCATTACCGACTCGATCAGGTCCAGGGCTTCGGAGAGGCTGGACTCTGCGGCGGGGATGATGAGGTTGGCAGCCTCCACCACCCACTTGTAGGGCAGGCTGGTGTCTGGCGGGAAGCTGGCTTCGTCCTCGTGCTTGGCGAAGTCCTCCAAGGGCTCCGGGGTGTGCGCCCCGTCCAGCTCTGCAGAGACAGGGTCCTGCCCCTGAGAAGCGGTGGCTGCGGGCGCCTCCTCCTCACTGCTTTCCTCCTCCTTCATGGCAAGGGGCGCAGGGGGCCAGCTGGCGACGAGGCTCCCCTGGGGGACACAGGGCACACCTCAGCCTTTGGAGGGCTTGACAAGAGATGCCGACCACGCCCACTGCAGCTAGATGCACAGCCTGACTGACAGCAAGGAAACTTGAATCCAACTTGACCAACCTATAGAGCAATGAAGACTAACACCATGAAAGACTTGGAAAGGTTGGTAGAATATTCCAGACGGAGATGGGTGAAAAGCTATGCCAATCAATGAGGTGGGGGGGTGGGGGTTTGGGCAGGAAAATGGCAGAATCTGGCCTGCAGGTTAGAGGTCCTGAATCAAAGTTAACTTCTGTGGCCTGGAGCCACCCCACTGTGGCAGGCAAGCACATGCCCTCATTCTCAGGAAACACATACTGGCTATCTAGGGACACAGCCACATGGTTATACCACCTGTGCTCACATGGCTCAGGTTTTACAAAGCCATCGCAGTACATGAAAGTCCAGTCAGGGGCATATGGGAACTCTATATAGTATTCCTGCATCTCTTCAGCTAAAGATGGTTTCAAAATAAAAAGTCTGAAAACTATATTCTAATGTTTTAGCAAAGAAAAGAAACAGGGGGTCAGGGGGGCCTCGCTTTGGCACAGGGGTTAAAGACAGCACTGTCCGGCTGCCTGTCGCCAGCCACTGTAGCATGAGTTCGAGCCCCACCAGGGAGCTGCCCCCTCGTCGCCGTCTCCCTGGAAGCTGAGATTCGCGGCCACAGCGGCCCACTATCAGGCCCAAGAGGCTCTCTCTGGACTTGAGAAGTCAAAAAACAGAAGCACGGCCATGTCACGCTCCTGGGGGCACTGCTCGGAAAACCAGAGCACTGAGAGAGCCCTTCAGCAGGAAAGGGGGAATAAAAAAGTAATTAAATAGCATTTGTTCACGATGACAGATTTAAAACAGACGAAGGAAGCGCGTCAGCTTTCCCGAGCCGGCAGTGCCCGAGCTGTACTCTGACGTGTCTGCTGCAATCTGTTTTAGGAATAAGCCATCAGGGCACAGCTGACGACAGCAACAGAAAGTTCGCTCTGGGCTGTGGGACTGGAGATGAGCACCTGCAGCTGGTGTCATTTTTACAATTGCAATGCTCCCCCCCGACCTGATTTCATGTATATGACTTTCTAGAAAAGGCAAAATCATGGAGAAAGAAAAGAGGTGAAGGTGCCAGGGGCTGTGGGTGAGTCGGGCTGGTGAGGAGGGGCACAGGGAACCTGGGAGGGAGGGAGATGTTCCCTGACCCTGAGAGCGACGCCTCCCTGCTTCGGGCCACAACTCAGAACTGTCCCCTCAAAACAAAGCCTTTTACTGTACAAACTCCATCTGGCTCTGAAATCAGGAACTGCCAACATGCTTTTAGAATGAAAAGCCTGCGAAGGGGACAGGGAGGAAGCTGCTGCTGAGGCTGAGAAGGCCTGAGAGACGCCATGACAGGGGCAACAGCTGTGGACGGACAGGACGGACAGGGAAGACGGAGGAGGGGCGCCGAGGCCCCCGGCCCGAGGTCCCCACCTGGCCCTCTGCGGGCTGGGTGCTCTGGCCGCCATCCTTGTCCTCGAGCTCCAGCAGCAGATACACGGGGGGCTTGTAGTCTTTGGACTCGTTCAGGAAGCCTCCTGTGTCCACCTTCCTTTTGATGGTGGAGTTCCAGTGATTCTTCACAGCATTGTCTGTCCTGCAGGGGAAACCAGGCCTGCGTGTCCTCAGGGAGGTCAATGACCTGCTGAGGGTTCAACCTGATGAGCTGCGGCCTCAGCTCGTAGGTGAAGCCTGCCTGTTGGATGAGGCGCACCTGCGCGCATCTCTGCAAAATAAGCAAAGGGCTTGTGCAGCCGGCGGTAAAGTGCATCTAACTGAGGTGCTGGGGGACCCTCGCCCCTTTCTGCTCCCTGTGCACGTGGAGAAGCTGCAAGGAGACGCTGGGTGCTGGTGACCTTGAGTGCAAGCCCTGCTCATGTCCATCAACTGAAGACTGGCCAGAGGACACAGTGGGGTGGCCCAGAGGACCTCTACTAGCCACTACCTGCATCCCGGCATCTCTCCCTGGAGATGAGAAGACTTCTTCACCGCCCCCCCCCCACACACACACACAGCTGAAGACCGAGCAAGGAGGCACAGGCACCGAGGGCGGCAGAGAAGGTGGGGACGGCGGCAGAGAAGGTGGGGACGTGCAGTGGCAGGTTGCTGGGGTGGCGGGACGGGGCAGCAAGGTCGCGCAGACCTCGCCTGAGACCCCGTCCCTGCCTGCCCTTCCCAACTCTGCTTCCAGGTGAGAATCTTTCCTTCAGGAAGTCCTGTGTACCTGGATCTGTGTCTCAGGTTGTTTCAGGGCAACTGGCCCCAAACACCTGCCCACTCCCTACCGCCCATCAGTGTGGGCTCCCCAGGCTACAAAGCATTCTTTGGCTCCTAATCTTCACCCCAGGCATCGCCCTAGGGATGGGCTCAGGAGCAGCAAGTCAGGCAGAGGAGCGGCCTACTCGCCTACTCGCAGTCCACTCAGCACTGGGAGGCTCCCGGGGCCTGACCAGGATCTGGAAGGGCAGACAGGCAGCTCATCTGCAGAATGAGGGCCCACTGAGAGGCTCAGCTTGAGGCCATGTTGGCTGCACGGCTGGCAGGAGGCAGGTGCCCAGCTGTGCTGGCAAGGTGGGGGGGGCCTGAGGGGCAGGGCAGCCAGAGCCCAGGAGCAGAGCAAGGGTGACAGCGGTTAAAGGTGAGGCCGGCAGCACCTGGGGGCCAAGCAGGTCACCCAAGTCTTCACCCAGATGTTGGAAGTGCCGAAAGGATAAGGTGCTCAGGTCTGAATTTGCAAACAGACCATTGCAGACTTCAGGAAATGTGCCGCCTAGTACTTAATCCCCCAGCCGTGACAAGGGCTCTGTGGTCCTAAAACAAAGGGAGGCAGACAGGGGTGAGGAGAGCGTGAGGACGGCGGCAGGAAGGCGCCGCGGTTTCCAGAAGGCAGGCGCGGCTGGAGAGCACTGACGGGGAGCTGGAAACTGGCTGCAGAGCAAGACCCTGGCGAGGGTGGAGCCAGCTCCCGGCGGGGTCCGCGCCCCACAGAGCCCCGCGAGGCTCAGGGCTGGGTTTGAGGAGCAGGCTGAAAACTGAGCGGTGCCTCAGACGCTGAGCCCCAGGCCCTGACCGCCGGGCGGCGGGAGGGAGGGCCGCTCTCCAGGAAAGACTGCAGGCCAGTCTGGCCCCAGCGGAGGGGGCAGCGCTGAAGTGGGCGAAGGGGACGGTGTACGCGGAGGCCTCGGGGCCCCCTCCGGGGGTCAGGGCAGCACCCCACCCATGCCAGGGGCAGGACACCATCTCCCGGGAAGAAGTGTGACTGACTCTTGGGAGGCCAGGCGCCCCACCTCCGGGGACGCTGCCCCATCCTGGCCTGGAGGCAGCTCACCTCCCGGGCAGCATCTTGGCGATCTCGGCCCAGCGGTTGCCCAGCACCTTGTGGGCCTCACAGATGATGCGGTCCTCCTCCTCCGTCCAGCAGGACTTCTTCACCTCAGGGTTGAGGTGGTTGTGCCAGCGCTCACGGCACTGCTTGCCCAGCCGGCCCTTCAGGTGTTTGGCGATCAATGTCCACTGCTTCGTGCCGTACTTCTTGACCAGCTCGATGACCTTGCAGAGAAGCTGCTGTGAAGCCAGCGAGACTGGACACCCCCCCCACCACTGAGCCCCACCCAAGCCTCTCGGTGGGGCCCCGCCGGCCTCTCCTCACCCCGTGATGCCAAGGGCAGCACCACAACACTGCCCTGGGGGTGCACGGAGCCCACGGCCTGGCGGCACCGCCTCATTACCTTCTGGTCCTCCTCTTTGGTCCAGGGCCCCTTGACGAGGTCTGGGTTCAAGACTCTCAGCCACCGGTACTGGCATTGCTGGTCAGTGCGGTTCTGGGAAGGACAGCAGGCTTGGACCCTGGCTAAGTGCTGGGCTCAGGGCCTGCAGCCAGTGGCCAGCAGGCTGTCCCTGTTCCCGCCACCCTCACACCAGGTGGCCATGGGCCAGGACGTGCACATTGTCCACTCACTACAAGAGGGCGCGGGGCACCTGGACACGCTCAGACCACTGCCTTCAGGCCCCGTAAAACCATGGTGAGTATATACGGATCCTGGCTTCTGGGCTTTTTTTATTTCCCTCAAAGTTTCAGATTCCAAAGAGAGGGAGACAAGGAATGAAAACAAAATGGGCCTGGTGACTGCTCTTGACGGCCTGAGACCCAGGAATCAAGTCAGAAGGTGGCTCCTGCCACACACA